TTCTCCACAATTACGCATGCCTTGTTTTAATTGCTGAAATGTGCTAATTGAGTAACACTTTTAAGATTTATAGTTGAGAAACATTTTTTTAATGACGATATTCACTTTGTATTAAAAACGAATAAAATGATAAAAAAAACTACTACACAGTTGTTTATTGTTTTCTACTTTAAAGTATAGATTGAACACATTTAAAACTATAGGATGTGTAGCTTCGATTAAAACTCCAAAAAATGTAACTTTTTTCTTTTTCTATTTTCTTTTTATTTGACTTAGAATTTTAGTGTGCGATATAAACAAAAACTTACCAAAGATACCAGGCTTATAATTTGGTACGCCAGATGCGCGTTTCGTCTACAAAAAACTCAAGAATGGCGAATCAAGAACAGTTTGAAGGCCAAATTATAAACCGTAACTTGTATAATATCGTGGCTCTTGATTTTTAATTTGACACGTTTCGATGTACGATAGATAAAAAAAAATGGTATTCTCTCTTGCGAATACTTTATCTTGCTTTGAACTAGACAAACATGATAATTTAGGTTTTTATATGCTACTCACATTGACTCGTTAATTTTTGCACTTACTCCTGAATATTGTATGCTTGGTGAGAAGCAGTAAATATCAATTTCAAAGTTTTTAAATTAACCGGACTGTGGATCTAACCGAAAAGCTCCCATACTCAAGCTACCACGAGACCATGAGGAGGTTCGAGTAAAAGAAGACTGCAATTTGCAGGTTGTCACTTGTGAGTAAGTTTCTCTACAGAATTCAAAGGCAAATGATAATAAACAAAAAAATCAGCAGATAAGTGAAACGGCTTGTTCGTAGCTTTCTACATTGTATTGTGAAAGGGAAAGGAAATGGTGTGCAGTGTTTGTATGCACATTGGTCGTATTAAATAAATAGATGTGGTATGATTGCAAATGGCCCGAGAACACAGTTATTTCGTAGTGCATTTCTTTTAGACAATAAATTCAAATTAAAAAAATCGCACCTGCTCTATCTCAAAAAGATTTTTACAGTGTAGTGTACTACTATTGATACAAATAATATCAAAATTATAGAAACTTCTACCAGCTCTAACTCAAAATATTGACAATTCTGTGTTAAGAGGGGCTAAAATTCAGTTTGACAGCTTCAGACATTCTAATTTTTGACCTTTTTTAACTGGACCAAATCACTACTTAACATAAAGATTCAGCACCCAAATTTTTTTAACATGTAATTTCATCCCCTTACTTAATATTTCATGCATAAAATATCAAGAAATAAATTGGGAAAGTGTATCAAAAAAAAATGCAAGTTATACACTGTTCACACTAGGGACTATATTTGTAGACAACGAAAACCAAAGGACGATAACTGTGTCCTTGGACCAAATGAGACAACTATCCACTAAAGAACAAATGACGTTGATGTTAATAACTATATTTAACTATAGTCACCGTATGTCCTTCAACAATGAGCAAAACCCATACCGCACAGCAAGCGATAAAGAGTCCCGACATAACAAAATGTAAAGCAATTCAAATATTCAAAGAGAAAACCAACGGTCTGATTTATGTACCAATGAAAAACAAATATAATGCACAGTTACAAACGACAACCACTGAATTACAGGCTCCTGAAAAAAAAACTAAACCTTTTCATTATATATTTTAAGGCGTCTAATTCTTAGCATATTGTTATTATTATTTTTGGTTTTCAATAGAAGGGGGTTTCTTTCTCCAAGATTCATTTTTTTGCAACGAAATTTTGGAGGATTAAGCTTGTAAGAACTGTCTTAGGTTCCCTATCACATCCCCTGTCCAATCATACAAAAGTCTAACTAATCTATATTACAGTATAAGATGCACTTTTCTATCCCATTAGAATAAAGTTGAGACGATGCGTTAGTAACACGGAACCTCATTCTTTCTCCATCACAACACAGGATATTAGTATATTGATTTATAATCAGTGGTCAATTCATTTAATGACCTTCTGATCACTACAGATTAACATGTATTTGTATTTAGATGATCGACAAAATTAAGATTGATACTGGTTTGATTATGACTTCAGCCATTTGGATCAAAGAATAAATTGGTCTTAATTCTCTATTTACTACAGTAAGATTTCCTTTTGAGTATGCATAAGACATAAAAATAAAGCAAAAGACCAGCGGTATGTAATTATTTGAAGTGGCGACTTAAAAGGACAAAACATCTGAATGAAAAGAAGTTAGTATATATATAAAACTGCTTCACTGGATAGTTGTCTCATTGGCATTCATACCACATCTCCTTATTTTGTACGGAAACATTCTATACCGTGAAGTATTAAGCTTGTTCATTGATGAAGGACATACTATGACCCCTTGAGTCTTTTGTAAGCGAAACACGCGTCTGGCGTACAAAATTTTAAGCCTGGTATTTATGATGCGTTTATTTACATCAATTTCAAGTGTTGACTAGCTAGCTATCTCATTGACATTCCGCACACCTTTCTCTATTTGTGTGTTATGTTTGAAATATAGAATAGCCTGTTGTATGCAAGCCCCACTACCGACGAACCAAAACAAAGAGACGAAACACGGGTACATTTACTGAGTTGCGATCATTATTGATTGATAGAGGAGCATTCTTTTAATGCTGACAATTTATCTCAAATAATGGAAAACAAAGAATTGTGCAGAATTTCAATCTACATGTATTACTTGATGCCCTAACCTAGAATGTTGACCTCAAAATCATTAGAGTCTTGTTTACCACAAGGCGCATTATCAACCAAATATTTGTATAGATTTGGTTTATAGGTCAAAAGATATTGTCCGGAAGCGAAACGTTTCCCAAAATTTCACTCTATTTTTAGACACCGCCATCTTGACCCAAAATATAGAGGGGTCTTATTCTTTGCGATGCATATTTTCAAGCAAAATGTGGTGACCTTCTACGACCTTGGCCTTTGACCTTATGATATCAAAATCAATATGAGTCGTGTCCACTCAAAGTAGTATATCCAAATGGATGTATAAGAAACGAAACAGTTGATGAGCTATATGACCGAAAGGACCTAAGAATAATAGCCGAATCCATGTAAGGTCAACTTTGCCTGAGTAAAGATTTGAATTAAAGCTGAAACGATATATTATTGGCAATTTGACTTTGACCTTAAACTCTTTAGATGAAAACAAACATTAAAATAGCTATAGTTGGGTACAAATGGTTTTTAAAAAAGTCTCATTTACATTAAAAGCCTTCAGAAAGTAAATTTGATGGTCATATCGTTCACTCTTCCCAAGAATCAAATAAGATAAGTCAGCATTCTATCAATTTCATATCATCACGCCATGATTATAATCTTATCTATTCTGGGTTAACAAATAGAACAATGACAAAACAGCTATTCACATGTCTTCTCTATGTTTCAATATTAGTTTCAGGTGAGTTAAGCAAAATGATATATTTTTAAATGTAAGGTACAAAAATGTATAACGGGAATGCAATACACTTTCAAACCAGGTAACCCAATGAGACATATAAGGAATTACATGACACTATTTACCGAGGCGGACATAAACGGAAAGCACCGGAGAAGAAATTAAAGCCGTTATATAACATCTGGGATATCAAGAGCAATGTCAAAAACTATATAATGTTCCGATTTATCCAGTCGGAAAGAACCCTAGAATTTTGTATCATTTAGTTAATATCGTTTAGTATTTATAAACTCAAAAGTTAAACAGTCACATTCTTCAAGAATATTTCAATTATAGTGTCAATAGAAGTGATTTATTACAAAATTGTTGATCTGCATTGTAAAACAAACATGACAAGTAGGTAACATCTGTTTTCTAATGTATTACAGATGTTTACAGCTGAAATAAGAAAATATGTATTTAAGTTTAATGTTTGCGAGAGTGTAGTTGAATAAAATTAGTCAAACATGGGTTATTGAAATTAAAAGGGACACATTAAATCGAGATTTTTCGAAAAATATTTGAAAAAATCTACTTCCGTTTTTTTTTATGAATAATTATTAAAAGAGAGTGTGCCGTATCTAATCACCTAGAAAAATAAGATTTCGCTATGATATGTACATGCACTCCATATATCAATACATGCAAATCATCAGTGAAAACATTGTCTATATTTAGTAGACTCTATCCTAATCTTACATCACCAATTAAAAAATCTGTAAAAGTAGCACTACTCTAACAACATATAGTGCTTTTGATGTTGTTATTTACTTAACTAGCTAATTGATTTACAGTAATGAAACCTTTGCTATAATGTCCCTCGCGCGACGCGTTGCATGGGATATAGAAATACTTGGCGTCCGTCCGTCCGTCCGTCCGTCCGTCCGTCCGTCCGTCTGTTCAGCCGGTCTTGTTAGCGCTCTCACGTGTACAATTCTTGCCAGATTTTTATGAAATTTAAATCAAACGTTTATATCAGCAATGTCTCGGACTCATTCGAAAATAAATTTCAAACAACTATTTCTAAAGGAGTTATTCACCTTGGAAATATAAATTATAAACGGAAAAAAGGTTTATATCACCAATGGTTGGGACAAGTCCTTTAGAATGGTTAATTCTATAGAAAATTGTATGATAAGCGCTCCCAAGTGTACAATTCTTGCCAGATATTTATGAAATTTATATCAAAGGTTTATATCAGCAATGATCCGGACGAGTTTGAGTCAGTGCCGATCAACTTTTTCCTGAAGAATTATGCCCCTTGGAAATACGAATTTAGAGAAGATAGCATTGTAAGCACTCTCACACTCACATTTCTTGTAGGATTGTTATGAAACCTATATCATAGGTTGATATCACCAATGCCTTGTGTGTTTTTTTTTTTTTAAATAAGCGCTGATTTATCATTTTTACAGGAGTTATATCTTTTTGAAATGTAATTTATATTTAACATGACAAGCATCCTCACACCTACATTTCTTGTTATTTTTTTTTTAAAGTTAAAATCAAAGGCTGATATCTGCAAGGTTTTGAAAGAATGCCGGTAAACTATTTTTACAGCAGGTATGCCCCTTGGAAATAGCAATATATCGAATATAACATTGCTAGGCCTAGGGATCGAAAGGCCTACATTTCTTGTAAGATATTTATTAAAATGTTATTGAACTGTTTAGTTATCATTTATATATTTTTTTAAGTTTTTGCCCTTGAACAGATAAAACATATGAAACGCGGAGACATTGGAATGCTTTTCTTTTATCAAAACTATGTTGCAAGGGTGGTGTAATAGTTTAATGTGTGACACTATTTTTAGATTAACTTCATTGGTCTATTTTCTCTACATATATAATTTGGATATTCAATCCAGAACTCATAGATCGGTAATTGTATTTTTCAGTTTAATTTTCTTTTATCTTATTTCTCAGTATATTCCGACTGTCCTCTTGGTTTTATGAGATTTCAAGAATCTTGCTATGCCATTTTACCAGTAAAAGTTTCCTGGGCAGAAGCACTGGTGTGTATTAACTTGTAAAAAATTATATTGTAAAAAAGTCAGTTTTAAGTCATAGATATTGTACTTTCAACCCTTTTAACTGCAAAGATAACACTGACTCAATATCTTGAATTAATATTTTAACTTCCAAAATACCGTAACACGAAACAATTCATTACCCTTTTAAATGGTGGCTTAGCTTAACGGTAAAAGCAATATTCAGAATGTTATGTATTTTCTGTCGATGTCCATTGCTGTGCGACCACTAAAGTAAATGGCATACATAAAAAATATATAATAAAACAACCAAAAAACTAAATGCCTAATTTTTGTTGTCTTCTTAACATAAATAAAACAGGATTTTCGGGTATACATCAATGCGACACCCATTCAACTACACAAATACCCAAACGACATCTATAGGTCAAGATTCAGCCTCGAATAATAGACCGCTGTTTTTATATTACAATATGTTATGCCCCAAATCGCCAAAAGGATCGAAAGCGGGAAAATTTTACCAGATTAATTATCGAAGATCTACCATCATCACTGAATTATTTAAATAATAAAAACATTTAAAAGATACAACGACTGACGAGGTTACAGACATCAGACACATGTAGACGGGTTAAACTGTTTTTCTTATATCTCAACCTTTCTCTTTTTAATGTCGGATTGTTGACTAACAAAAAGTACGTATAGGAAAAGCACTTTACTATGTATTAAGTATATGGTCTGGTGATATCTCATGTTGACATTATTTGTGTCGATTTGAAAACTTTATAAAAGGGAAGTGTCAATATTGTTCCTCTAAAAGTACTATAATAAATGATGAACAACTTGTATAGAAAATCAAACGAGATGAATAAAAGGAGATGTCGCGAGGGTAAACCTCAATGGTAGCAATAAAATTGAAATTTAGTTAAGTGTATATGTTACACTTTTGTATGGTGAACAATGAAGCCCCCCCCGTAAGGAAATCCATTGTAAACACATACAACTGTGTAAGTTTTATATGAATCTTATCCTGAAAAAAAGTTCACATGCACAACATCTCTGTACGGTTAATATAGGTTCAAACGATTGTGCTAAAACAATGAACCAAAACAAATATTGCAGATAGCAATCAGAGGCAGACTTTAACATTTTTTCTGAACACTTAACCCTCTCCCTACATGGAGACAGTGGTGTTGCATAGAGCATAAGAACACACTTTAAAATCAGCTGGAAAGGGCTTGACTTATCATATCGACACAAAGATAAGAAAAAAGACAAAAGACACACAGTACCAATCTGAAAGTACTCGCATTAACTTGATTCTAAGTTCTAATCACATTACAACTACACAGATACATCATATTGCCTAAAACTAAAACAAGAATGCACGCGTTGTCGTGCTTAACACACTCCCATTCGTAATTCAAATTACCAAATATGAAGCCATTCTGCTCCAGGAACAATGTGTCGGAAATATTTGATGGACGAACGGACGGTCAGACGGGCAAGGTGATTGTTATAAAGCCACAACTCTTACATTTGGATGTATTATCAATCAGTGCACATCTTAAACAGTCCGAGAAAAGCATGCCATTGTGCAATGCCAAAATAAAAGTATCGCCAGGATGAAGACACACACGTATTCACAATTGTGTAACAATACGTATCTAATTATGTTTTAATTACAATGCAAGTAAGCATGAAAGATTTGTTTTATTACACCATAATGAGATTTACTTCTTCCTTAAGTCTTTAAATCTAGCCTGAGTGTCCTGAATTTTTGTCAGAATATACTTGTTTGATATTTAAAAGTTGGCGTCTTTATATTTCATTTATGTTAATTTCAAATTATACACGATGTCAGTAGATGATGTCGCAGTACTCTATGGTCACACGAATAATTAATTAAAGTGTCACTTATACTCCTGCGGGTTACTCATATCTATTAGTTTGAATTGTAATTAGAATGTATGGGATGTTTAGTTATTGCCTTAATGGCAAATGTTTTCTAAATATATTTTGAATACTATACATATTCTTTTATCAAAGCTTTATTTTCTCTATGTAGAGATTATGTCAGGCCTTTCAAGCCAAGTTAGCTTGGATAGACAGTTCAATAGAAGATAAATTTATTGAAGGGATGCTGAACAGATACCACGGTATGTAATTAAGTCTTACCAATTACACCACTCGTATTTCACATCTGAATTATCCAATATATTTTACGTCATACATTTTGTCTCATGAATACTCGAGAGAAGGCCACGAATGAAGATTTTCTTAACTATTGTATTACATATTTCAGTTTTTGTCTCGCCTTGACAGAGTCAAAAAGCGAGACATAGGTATGCTGTTTCAGGCGTCGGCGGCGGCGTCGGCGGGGTCAACATTGTATTGGTTTGTGATTAGGTCTAGTTTATGGTGAACCACTAGTGGTAGGTCATTGATATTTGGTATGCAGTTGTATAAGCATTGGCATATCTCATTTCCATGGAGATTATATAGCCCCACCCCCTCATCATGGTTCATTGACTTTGAAACTTTTACATAGTTTGCAAGTTAATGTGTGTGTTTTGGTTTGTTTAAAGGGAACAACTTATGATAAGTCAATGGTATTTGTACCCTTTGTCATGGTTTATTTACTTTGAATATTTGCATAACTTAAATGTTAAAGTATTGCTATTTTAATTTCAACATTTGCATTATCAAAATTACAAAAAGGCGAGACAAATCTCTGTGTTAACAGTTTATTTTTATATGATAAACGATTATCAATTACGTTCTTTATCGATAAAAAAAACCCACTTTCATATCTAATGAGAAAATGAATTAAGTTTCAGTATATTGTACTACAAAAGCATCTTTTTGAATTACTATCTTATAAAGGAATAGTTGCTAAATCATTCAGATTCCATAGCAACAGCAGAGGTGTGGATGGGAGGCACGGACATGCTAATTGAGGGCATATGGGTGTGGGCAGACACATTAAAGCCATTCACCTACACAAATTGGTTTCCAGGAGAGCCAAACAATGAACATGGACAACATTGTCTCGGATTGTTCCGAGATAAAGGATTCAAATGGGACGATAACCGATGTGAACTTAAAATGGCACCACTTTGTAAGGCGGCGTAAGTATTAACTTAAAATGGCACCACTTAATTTGTAAGGCGACGTAAGTAATAACTTAAAATGGCACCACTTTGTAAAGCGACGTAACTATTTTCTGACTTTTTGAACTGTTAGACTTGTAAAAAGTCAATAATAATGCTCAACATGTTAAAACAAAATCCTCTTTTTTGGCAACATAAAATAATGACTGAATATTATAAATTTAATCATAAATGCACCATAAAACATTCGTAGAATATAGTCTTTTTTGATAAATTGATAAATTAATAAATAAAATAAAGTTCCAACTACCTAAGGCAAAGTTGACATCAGAAGACTCTGGTGATCGTTTTGATTCCTTTTGACCTTATATCTCTTCGCCAGTTTAAGCAGTTTTACATTTTTGTCTTTCTATTCTTTGGATCTGAGCGTTCGTGGTGTAGTTAAATCAAGAAAACTGTTAGTTCCCGAGGGTATCAGCAGCTCATTAGTTAGTGCATTGGCATTGAAATTATTTATGACATACCTTTCTTAAACTTTCCGTTAATATATCTAGAAATTAAGAAAAGATAAGAAACTGGGGATTCGACTCCCTCAGGCAAGGTCGATATAAGGCGGATCTGGCTAATCATTAAGGTTCCTTTTGTCGATTAGATCTTCAAGTACTCAAATATTCATACACCCTTGGTTTACATTTTCTGGTTTGAGCGTTGCTGATCCGGTAAATCCAGAAAATCTCACCAAAATTTATAATGTGTTATTTTCAATGGCAATCCAATGTTTGTACCAGACTTTTAAAATCAATTTCGATATATCATCGTCATAGTTTCCCACATCATATTGTAGTATCAAATGTCAATTGAAACAGAAAAAAAACTATCTTCACTTTTATTTGCTACTTGTTTGCCGATCTGTTGGTTATTATTTAATTCCGTACAGTGAACTATAGTTGCTCTCATCCACGTTATTTGGACTCTGGTGGATAGCTGTCTCATACCATATTTTCTTATTTTATAAAGTATCTGAAAGTTAAAGTGCCTGTCCGTTATGGGGTTTTTTTCGGAAATTTTGCATTTAATGAATTTCCCCAAACATTCATTTTAGAAATATATAGATACTATAAATTTGGCAAATCTATAAAAAAAAAATGCATTTAAATTGTCATTTATAATATTGGTACGTGTATAAAACAAGGAGATGTGGTATGATTGCTTTAAAAAGCCCAACGTGACAAAATGTGAAACAATTCAAACGAAAAAACCAACAGTTTAGACGAAAAACCATCAGTCTAGACGAAAAACCATCAGTCTAGACGAAAAACAAATATGACAGATAGTGACCAACAACAACCATTGAAATACTGGTAAGTGACATGGGGCGGGCACATAAATAGTGAGACTGAATTAATCATATTTGTGAGCGTTCTCCCCCCTCTACCTTGGAAAGTGATGTTACAGCACAACAAAAGAACAAACTGTTAAAATCAGTTGGAAATGGCTTCATCTGATCAGCACGATGTAAACCCAACTAAGATAAAGACAAAAGACACAAATAAGATAAAGACAAAAGACCCAACTAAGATATAGACAAAAGACCCAACTAAGATAAAGACAAAAGACCCAACTAAGATATAGACAAAAGACCCAACTAAGATAAAGACAAAAGACCCAACTTAGATATAGACAAAAGACCCAACTAAGATAAAGACAAAAGACCCAACTAAGATATAGACAAAAGACCCAACTAAGATAAAGACAAAAGACACAATTAAGATATAGACAAAAGACCCAACTAAGATATAGACAAAAGACCCAACTAAGATATAGACAAAAGACCCAACTTAGATATAGACAAAAGACCCAACTAAGATATAGACAAAAGACCCAACTAAGATAAAGACAAAAGACCCAACTAAGATATAGACAAAAGACCCAACTAAGATAAAGACAAAAGACCCAACTAAGATATAGACAAAAGACCCAACTAAGATAAAGACAAAAGACCCAACTAAGATATAGACAAAAGACCCAACTAAGATAAAGACAAAAGACACAATTAAGATATAGACAAAAGACCCAACTAAGATATAGACAAAAGACCCAACTAAGATATAGACAAAAGACCCAACTTAGATATAGACAAAAGACCCAACTAAGATAAAGACAAAAGACCCAACTAAGATATAGACAAAAGACCCAACTAAGATAAAGACAAAAGACACAATTAAGATATAGACAAAAGACCCAACTAAGATATAGATAAAAGATCCAACTAAGATATAGACAAAAGACCCAACTAAGATAAAGACAAAAGACCCAACTAAGATAAAGACAAAAGACCCAACTAAGATATAGACAAAAGATCCAACTAAGATATAGACAAAAGACCCAACTAAGATATAGACAAAAGACCCAACTTAGATATAGACAAAAGACCCAACTAAGATAAAGACAAAAGACCCAACTAAGATATAGACAAAAGACCCAACTAAGATAAAGACAAAAGACACAATTAAGATATAGACAAAAGACCCAACTTAGATATAGACAAAAGACCCAACTAAGATAAAGACAAAAGACCCAACTAAGATATAGACAAAAGACCCAACTAAGATAAAGACAAAAGACACAATTAAGATATAGACAAAAGACCCAACTAAGATATAGATAAAAGATCCAACTAAGATATAGACAAAAGACCCAACTAAGATAAAGACAAAAGACCCAACTAAGATAAAGACAAAAGACCCAACTAAGATATAGACAAAAGATCCAACTAAGATATAGACAAAAGACCCAACTAAGATAAAGACAAAAGACCCAACTAAGATATAAACAAAAGACCCAACTAAGATATAGACAAAAGACACAATTAAGATAAACACAAAAGACACAAACGTACCTATTTAAGAGTGCTCGTTTTTACTGAAAGTTTAAAGCTAATAACAACTAATAAATAATTCAAGTTCTCAAGGACTAAAATACATACATGTACTTAAGATTACGACAAAAGGTTGTACAAAGTTCATAGTACGCACAAGAAGTGGGGAATTTAAAAAAAAAGCTGAAAAGAGTTCACTTCATTATGTAAAATACATTTAAGATAATTTGGCTTTCCTCGACAAGTGACCATTCAATAAACTGTTTATTTAAATTTTTGTAGTTTTGTTTCGCTGATATGCATACATTTCTTTAAATTTCAGGGCAAATGTTCTTGGGAATGAGATAATTGGATAGACATCATTGAAATCTTAATATAGAAATACTTATACGCCATATATTGTCCGTTTTGTGATTTTTCACTCTGTTGGTTGAATTCTTTAAACGATAAGAATGAAAAAAAATCACACTATTATGACAAAAAAAAACACCAAAGAAAATCTGACAGAGAAAAATTTACGTCATAATTTTTTTTCAATTAATTCTTTTCTAAAAATAACAACGAATCTGGAAAAGTTCAAAGAACCCAGGTGTTTTATAAACGGTTATTTTATAATGACACCGAAATAGTAATTCGTCACTGTTTTAGTCTATACAAGTACCAAACCAAACAAAATAAAAACGACTGTGAAACAATGAAAGTGTACTTTACACTAAAATATTTGACTGAAACTTCTAATTAAACAGGTTCCTTTTTTAATGAGTAAAAGAAGATATCAATTTCTAGTCAGTTGAAATATATTAAAACCTTATAATCATACAATTAAGTAAGTCTCATATCTTGATTTACATCTAGAAATTGACATTGAAGGTCGGTTGAAAACAAAACTTTACGACAAAAGAGATGATCTCAGCTTCCCGATTATGAACTTTCCATTCTATGAAGCAACATTCCAGCAGCGCCTGTATATGAAGTATATATCTAGTTGATACGATATTCCAGATCTTGCATTTCGTATCATGATTTCATTGATAGAGGGTTGCTGCTTACAAGGAAGCTATTAAACCAAGAGTTCGAAGTTGTGAAGTTGGTATCAACCCTTCAAAAATTTCACGGACGCCATCACGAGTTGGTTGACCGCTATGGAATATCTGTTTCACATATGACTAATCCCATCCTCTTTTTCTAGAATGTAACCTACCGAATTAGACTTATCTTGTATTTACACGAGCAACACGACGGGTGTCACATGTGGAGCAGGATCTGCTCACCCTTTCCGGAGCACATGATATCATCCCTGGTTTTTGATGGGGTTCATGTTGTTCAGTCTTTAGTTTTCTTTGTTGTGTTTTGTGTACTGTTGTTTGTGGTTTTTGGATTTTTGACATATATATCTTTGTCAGTTTGTTTTCAACTTATGACTTTGAATATCTCGTTGGTATCTCTCGCCCTTTCTTCTAAAGCATCGAGGACGAGTGTCATGTGCAGATGTGCTAGGTACTAAGCAACCCTCTTTTCACGGGTTACTGTCATCGCACAGCAATCCTAAAGTATGTTATATTAATACAGGCAATGAACAGTACATCTTGTACGTCTTCTTCGAAATAAACTAGAAACTGAAATAAATCAATAGGTTAATTATATAATCTATCCAATTTTATGATTTTAACTATAAAATTTAAGTGTCACTTTCCTATCACAGTGAACTGGGCGGATTAAGGATACTGCTGAAATTACAGCAATGACTACTTGATCTCTTTCGTGATATTGACTTGCATATAAAAATAAGAAGATGTGGTATGATTGCCAATGAGACAACTCTCCACCAGAGACCAAATGACATAGAAGTTAATAACTATAGATAACTATACGACCTTCAAAAATGAGCAAAACCCATACTGCATATTCAGCCATAAAAGGCCCCGAAGTGACAAATGTAAACGAGAAAACTAACGGCCTGATTAATGCAAAAAAACAATGAACTAAAAACAAATATAATATGCAGCAACAAACGAAAACAACTGAATTACAGGCTCCTGACTTGGGACAGGCACATACAGAATTTGGCGGAGTTAAATATGTTTGCGGGCGCCCAACCCTCCCCTAACCTAGGACAGTGGTGTAACAACACAACATATGAACAAACTATAAAAATCAGTTGAAAAGGGCTTAACTCATCAGATCGATACAAAGAAGAAAAACAAGTAACAAAAAACAGATTGTAAGTGGCAGGGTATTTATACATCCCCAAAACAGATATGAGAGTACTCGCAGTTACTGACAGCTAGTTAAAAGCCAATAACAACTAATAAATACGCCATGCATCTACGACTTCAAACTAGAATCTATGAAAACGTGACTATTTCAGTTTCCCATTATTAACCTTCCATTTTCAGTAGTGTGTTCATAACATACACAAAAACTCTTAAACAGATTTATGAAGAAGAACGAATGACATCGACACTCCACAAGTCTTACGTTTATCATAACCAATGAGCTATCGGGTCGATACGAAGTGTCTGTGTCACAATTAACAACAGACTTGACTTCGCGGTCTCAGATTGTTAGACACATGAATAGTTGTCTGATCAGAAAATTTACCCATTGTCTCTTATCGTGAAATTTTACGCGAATCTGGATTAGCATATTATATTTTGCATGTATAGCAGGAGACGCTTATTCACTCAATGCCCCTAGTCTCCTTCTGTTTGGAATATATTCGAATCCATTCGGGAATTTTTTACAGATGGTATATTCCAAATGGATTTCCATGTTTTAACCACCAATATACTACTGATGTCTCTTTTTATAGTTATTTATACATCGTTCAAAAATATGATGTTTACATGTTACTTGAAATGCTATATCATTGTATCAATCAGCTTAATTTATGGATTTCACTATGAACTGAAAAGAAAAGCTTAATTTGTAAGCTTTTTTTTACAGAGATAACTAATTAAAAACTGAAAAATTACGATTTGTTCTGTTAATAATGTCTACGTTTTACAAATTAAAACATGAAAACGTCTGAACTGTATCACCAGTAGAGGCGAAGAAATGAATCTTGTGTACAACAGAAATTAGAAATATATAAACACAAAAATGAAATAAGGGCATACACTCATCATTCATTGAAGTATTACGATCTCCAAACAGCAAAAAAAATAGCTTTGAATATATGAATTTATTTTACATTATATGCTGACCGATCAAAATAAAAGGTAATGAACATTCAATAATATAATACCCGCTGCATTTTTATGCACCTGTCCTATGTCAGGAGCCTGTTGTTCAGTGGTTGTCGTTTGTTGGTGTGGTTCATAAGTGTTTCTCGTTTCTCGTTTTTTATATATATTAGACCGTTGGTTTTCCTGTTTGAATTGTTTTACACTAGTCTTTTTGGGGCCTTTTATAGCTTACTGTTCGGTGTGAGCCAACAGTAATGATTTCGTAAAGGTTGGTGAACTTGGCGAACAGTAATGATTTCGTAAAGTTAGGCGAAGTTGGCGAACTTGGCGAACAGTAATGATTTCGTAAAGGTTGGCGAAGTTGGCGAACAGTAATGATTTCGTAAAGGTAGGCGAAGTTGGCGAACATTACGAACTTTTACACAATCCTGTACATGAATGCCGTGTTGAAGGCCGTACTTTGACCTATAACTGTTTACTTTTTACACATTGTGACTTGGATTGATAGTTGTCTCATTGGCACTCATACCAAATCTTCTTATTTATACATCTATATTTATTTTTGCTTGTACTTTTATATCACCCTAAACATATATGAAATATATGCCACTAGACGTTGAACATACAAACACCGGCCAATCAATCACTAGTCTGCATACATTTTAGGACCAATGGTATTGAAAAAATTAATGGTCTTCATCAAAGTACTCACGTACTGTTTATCGATGGTCCCAAGATCTAATTCCTGACAAAAAAATGGTATGCATGATAACTTACAGTGTGTCTATTTACGGTAATTTCCTCCTAGTCTAATGGCGATTACTACTCATTTACATGTAAAAAATAAAGACTTAACATTAAAATACATTAAATATGCACAGTATGTCGACAGGAATGAAGTTTTGGTTCGTATATTTTCAAATCGATTTTCAAGTTGTTAGATGTTTATAGTACGCACTTGAAGCGGTGAATTTAAAAAAAAAGGTTTAACAAGTCCCTACCTGATGTTCAATATAGTCGAGGGAACATGATCCTTTCTCTGCAATTGGCCATTCAATGAACTATAATATGTCTGTTTATTTTCATGCTAGTAGTTTTGTTTCACAGACTTGCATACATTTTATTATTTTTTTTATTTTTACGGCAAATGTTCTTGGAAATAAAATAATTGTATGGACATCAGTGTAAACTTGAAATAGAAATACCAGCATGGCATATATTGTCAGTTTTACCAGCATGGCATATATTGTCAGTTTTACCAGCATGACATATATTGTCAGATTTAACAGCATGACATATATTGTCAGTTTTACCAGCATGATATATATTGTCAGTTTTACCAGCATGATATATATTGTCAGTTTTGTGATTTTTTGCTCTCCCCATTTGTTTAGTATCTAAATTGTTAAAAGTAAGTGGTAAAACTCATAAAAGTATGGGAAAAATCATCAAAGGAAAGTTGAGAGCGTGAAATTGACGTCATAATATAATTTTAATCATATTCTTTTCTAAAAATAACAACGAATCGAGTAAAGTTCAAAGAACCAAGGTTGTTTGATTAACGGTTATTTTATAATGACGTAGAAATATAAGTTCGTCACAATTTTTGTCTATATGACCTCCAAATAAAATCATAACGATTAAACAACAATGACAGTGAACTAAACCCTAAAATGTCGAAATTTACTCGACGAGAAGACGCGCCATGTGAAGATGAACTCACAGGTTTCCTTAAATAGGTTATAGTATCACATACTACAGAGCGTCTCCTTAAAAAAGAACATTATTTTTTCGAAATTAAAACAAACTTCAACAGGTGTGAATTCTAGTATCTATAGCAAATGAAATGATTTGAATCTATATTTAATTTACAGTTCCCAACCACTGTTTAATTGACACTAATGATACTACCGAAATTACAATGTCTATACCTCATAGCTAGATTTCTTTCGTGATATTGACACAGATGGACGAATAAAATTAGGATCTATGAAAACGTGACAACTCAGTTACCCATTGAATGTGACAGAATATAAGTTCCCCCATAATATGTGTTCCAAAGAACTTTTATCATATAACAAAAGTTCCATTGGGAACTTTCCTTATATAATATTTTATCCAATACTATAAGAAAATTTCCTTCACACAGGATAAAATATTACATAATGAAAGTTCCCAACGGAACTTTTGTTATATGCTAAAAGTTCTT